TAAACTTACGTACGGTAATAAGAGTCAATCAGAGCTAACACTCGTATAGTATATATAGTTTCGTGTTTGAAAACACACACAAAAAAAAGGTATGATGAAACTTGAAAATATATATTCAAACTTGCCTAACTGTTCATACAAATCATGACTATATCAGAGCGACTCCGATCACGCGACCATGCTCAGGTCCATCGACTTCGTCTCGTGTTTCTCCCTATACTTCTTTCGAGCTCTAGCCGCTTCCTTCGTGCTTTACAACAGAACTGAGCACAGTCAAGGCTCCTCTATTTGTTAAATATACCTGTTTCTCCCCTTGCCCCCCCTCCATCCCCATCCATTGGATCATACGCGTTTTGTCCTCTTCTCATAGAACAAAATCATTTAAATTTTTCCAATCCAGTTAAGATAAAGTGGTTGGCGTGGGTAGAAGTCAACAATTTTTATTTGTAGGCAGTAAGTCTCTTCATGGAGCGACATTTAACTCCATTGTAATTTTATTTTTAGACCGTGGAGTTGATGGTTTCTAAAATCCAACAAATGTACGAACGAATGGAGCGAAAAATCCAATTGCTAGGGTCATACGAGGATGACCTTGTCCATCTTAGGTAAGATAAATAATTTACTTGGAGGGTTTGACTGACTGCCTTTTCAACTTTTTTTGATTTTGTGAACATCAATGAATGTGAAATATAGCTTGTTTGCCTCGCTTTCGAGAAAAAAAAATGGAAACATTTTTCGTTCGGTTGGAACTTCAAGCGTGTAATTTCTCACCAACCACGTTCAATATTTAACAATTATTCCACGAGCGCGCGTTGGATATGAGATGATAGATAGCCAACGAGGCGCGTAGCGCCGAGTTGGCTATGATCATCTCATATCCAACAAGCGCGAGTGGAATAATTGTTTTATTAAAAACGTTAAATTAAATGATTAAATTTTATTAAATTTTTAGTTTCCTTTTAATTTTAAGCTGACGCTTAGGCTTACCATATTTGTAGATTATGGTATATTGGCTCATATACCATAATGGCTAAGCCAATAAAAAGTCTTGAATTGCATTATCCAATGATCCAGTTTTTAATAATATTTATTATTATATGACCCGTCCGGCCCCGCTCGCGCAATCCCACAGAAAACCATAGTGAAAGCTGACGTGTGCAGGGCTGGACGGGTTGACATGAGCCGGTCCGGAAAAAGCCGTCCGGCCCTACTGCCTTCACGTCTCTTTGTTGCAAAAACTGAAAGAAAAACAGAAATGAGAAAAAAAAAAGTCGCGTTTTTCAAGAAATCGGGAGTTTCTTGTTCTGACTCGAAACAATAAAAGAATAGTTTTAATAGCAGAATTTTTTTGTGCCCGCGTGACTGTGTGTGCCCGCCTATCGCGTCCTATTTACATTGACATTTTCAACACCTAAGGTGTTCATATAATAAAATTCTAATTGGCTGAGTGGGAGGGCCGCACGGCTCTCAGTCATGAGGCACGGACCTCGCTGCACTCGGTCTGTACGTCATGACCTCGAACCAAATATTTTCCCGTCAGGCCCTCCCACTGCGTCAATAAGTACATATTACGAGCGTTAATATCCTGAGCAGTGGATACCTCTGTTTAGGAGTTGGTCAGCTCATATCATCCCTGTTTGTCATCTTAACAAAGACATTTCTGCTGGTATTGTAGAGATAGTGAGACTGTTGCTGGACAGAAGACGGCAGAGGCGTCAGGCTTGAAGGTAAACCTCCCTACTTTGTTACGTCCTCCCTTGATTGCATACAGTTTGCAGCCCTTAAGAAGAAGAAAGGATACAATGCAGATTTCCATGTTAAAATTGCAACAGCTGATATGCAGAGAGACAGGTCTCTCCGGGGTGGTAAGCGGTTTACGAAGTGCAAGTTTGGATCTCGAATTGCTATGTTGAGTAGCTGACATGACGTCACTACCGTGACCGTCATGGTGAACCCAGAGAATAACAAGTTAGACAAATTTTGGTTCTGTCAATTGTACTTTAGACTCTTTTTCTTTCCTCCCTTCCCCTCCCCCCCCCCTAAAAAAAACGTTGGAGGAAGTCACGTCAGTGCAGCTTTATGGGTGTGGCTTACTTTACTTTATGTCTCATATTGCAGATGGATGTTCGAGATCGCCAAGAAGAAATTTCTTATTTAAGAGCCTCAATGAGCAGATTAAGAGAAGATTTGGATCAACAACGGAGGTTAAATGTCTGTTTAAAAGAAAGAAAGGTACACTTTAGGTTGGAAAATTGACGGCATAACAACTCCTCTTTTCATTATGTTCACCAGAACGATGCCTTAAGTGTGGTCACGTGCATCAATAATGATACAGTTATGATCATGTATAACTTTGGTGTTCTGCCAGGCCTTATCCCCTTCGCCACAGTTTGAAAGGTTATTGGACAAAAATCATGGAACATGTCAACGAAGCTCAACACGATTTAGTTACTGGATTGACTAAAGCCATGTATTCTCCTTGTTGACAGAGATTTGCGATGGACATGGACGAAAGAGACACAAGAAGATCAACGCATAGTTGTTATGTCGACGAACATACTCGTTATAAGGTAACTTAACTTGTCCAGTGCTTGGAAATAACCTGTCTTTAATTTAGTAGAGTCAGTGCGATTTTTACTTCGAGAAAGGTGTTCAAATACATTAAAATGTATTAAACAAGGTCTTTAGATTCGAAGAACTCAGTATGTAAACTTTAAGCGCTTTTAACTATTTCATTTTTAACTTTTGATATGTTGTTTTCGTATTTGCAGGATGAACTCAAAAAGAAAAAAGCTGCAGAGAAACTGAAAAGGAAAAATTACGAAATAGAATCGTTGAAAAAGGTGATACTGCAGTTTGTTTGTTTGTTTTCTATTTTAATTGTTATTGTTCTGATTTTAAATGTTATTGTCTTAAATGTGAATTACACCATGCAACACTGAATACCGAACCCACGACATTCGAGGCGAACATCACTCTCGGCGCGTTTTATTAGGATTTCTGTTGCCGATTTCGCCATTTCTTCTGCGAATGTTGCCCGCGACTTTCTTGTCCTCACGTCATACCTGTAAACTATTTCTTACAAGATAATTACACTTCATTATTTCTCAGTTACACTGCATCAGTACACTTTGTTATTGATTTGTCACAGGAATTGATGTCCGCTGACCGAGAATTGAACGAGACTGCTGTCAAGTTGCAACTGCTGGAGTCAAGTCGAGTAAGTATTGCCGTTCATCTCTGTTCGAGCATTTGTTAAAATTGTACTTATCAAGTAACATTCGCGAGGAAAGCGTGTTAAGGAATTACAAACCGCCAACAGGAAGAAGGAATTCCACCGACCATTTCCGTGGCTCCTGTGGATGAATTCCATTTGTATCTCCATCTCATAAAACAGCACTGTGTCAGTTCTATACAAAGAGACCCACAAATTGTGGGACAGAGTTGCAAATATCGCGGGAAATTTGAATATTGATGGTTCTGTCTTGAAATGGATGTGGTGGCAATAGTTGAATGAATAGTTTTGAGTAGAGATTAACCAGGGAAGCAAATAGAGACCAGAGAGACTGAGCGTGGGAACTGGTCTCATAACATCATTTTGTTCTGTTTCAGAATTTGACAAGTGCTCGAAGCGCTCAGAGTGAGGACAGTGCTCTTCTGGATTATGATGAATAACAATCACACTAACTCTGCATCCACTCCGCCCTTTACGACGTCATGTTGTCCCGGTCCCGTTGTACAATGTGTCCTCTTAACACGATTGTGACAATCCTGAAAGAAATTACTAATTGCAAGAGACACTACGTGGCGTATTATATGAAACAACATCTCGAAATTTAAACCCAAAACAAGTAGGTTGAGCGGCCAGTTGGCTGGCACATGGATGATGTTTTTACCTGCAGGTGTACAAGCCTTGCGAAGAATGGAAAATATCTCTACAGATATCACCCGCTACTGTAGGTATGCCGCTAATTTTTAGCGGTTCCGCCACTAAAATGTTTGTCGCGCGAACATAAATACTTAGCCAACCAGGCTGTTAGACAAGTTATTGAAGAATTTCGCATGTGTGACTGGGATTCGGCGAACTGCTGAACTCAGGGAAATAAGCTAGAATTTTAACATGATCGAGCAAACAAATAAGTAGATAAACAAAATTAACGAAGTTTAGGTAACTGCAATGTTTCCCTTTCGTCACTTTTATAACAAATCACACCTGAAGGGAAAGGTCTGGAAACGAGCTTGGACATTCCATGTAAATGCTTGCCATAGTTACGTGTAAAATAATTCATGAACTGTTCATATTAAAAACCAGTAAATTGTAAAATCAAAATGTTTTATTTGCTGTTTTTTTTCCAAACAAGGCTTAAGATAAGCTTAAGTTTGCATATGTATTTTTGTTCCCTTATTTATCTTGTCTTGTTAAAAGTCTGATATTTCCGTCAGCTACCCAAATGGATTTCCCAAACGTTTTCAGCAGTGTTTCCCTGAGTTGTCAAACAATAGATCATAAGCAGCTAAGAACTGAGCGCTAGCAGGGAGCAGGGAAGGCATAAGGTGAAAAGCTATTTGTTCACGAGTTAGATATGGCCATTGGCTAAGGCCTTGTGGATTACACTATTTCTGAATGAGAAACTTTGTCTGCGCAGCCAATAACAAAACGCTAAATGTAAGAAACAAATCAAACATCTCAACAATCGGATATAAAACAAACGTTTCTTTTTGCTTGAATGGCCTTTACCTCAATGTTTAAATATTTGAATGAGAAAAAGTACTCGTGACTTTTTTGTCTTCCTTGTGGTGAAACGACAATTCGACAAAACCATTGGAAGAACTACATCCAAGGGAAATCGATGAAGAAGGAAAAGTGCTCCGTTTGTCTTCATAAGCAATCGTGCAGCCGAATTCCTAAGCCGCACAATCGCCGCACAAGAACAGACCAGTTTGCGTTGTCGCAAATAACTCAAAAGGTTCATATGCGCGCGCTAATTTAATGCGTCATAATGCATCGTTACAAGTTAGGTGACCTTGTAATGATCGCAACAGACGATTGTACAGAAAAGATAACTTATCTACATAAGGTTTGATTTGAGATTGGAGGAGAGCTACCTTTCCAGTGGAGATGCTACCAGATGACATTTGGCTGGAGATTTTTACATTCCTTTCTCAGAAAGATCTTCTCAGAGTTTCATCCGTTTGTCGAGCGTGGTATCGCCTGTCACATGATAGTTCGCTTTGGTCGAGTCTAGATCTTGAACCATTCTACAAATCATTACAAGGGGAAACAATACTGAGGTTGATAAATACTTTATTTGCACCAAGTGGAAAGCATCTTGTTCTTAATAAGAATCTTGTAACTTCCGAGATGTTGCAAAGTTTGTTCACAAATTGTCGCAGATTAAAAAGTTTAAGTCTGAACGACTGCAGGTTCCATTCCGCTGGACCTTGGTATGAGCTGACGTGTGATCAGGTGGAGACGCTAATTTTTTTAGACTTGAGGAACGCCAGCGGATTCGCTGCAGGAGTAGAGGATATCTTGATACAAGCATACAATCTCAAATACTTAGGTAAGTATGTCAACTTTATGCGTTTTCCAACTCCCTTTAGTTGATAACTATGTCAGTAAGCCGGATTTGATCAAATAGAAGAGTCACATGCTCTCGAGGCTAAGTGAGGAGGTAGTGCAGAGAAAACTGTTTCCTTTGACCAGTACAAATAAAAAAAGGAAAAAGAAAACTCTTCTTGGGATTTTACATTTCGCTCATTATGAACATCTTGGCGTCCAAAACGAATGGAGTTCAAATTGTGTATCTTCATTTGTTATGTTTGAATCCGCTCTTTTTACGAATTAGGCGATCGGGCACTGTTACCACAAAGATCAACTGTGACCATTAAACCGGCTATCTTGCATGTGTCAAACTATAGCAACTGAGAATATATGGGTGAGGTGTGGCACCGACGACTAGAACAAATAGTAATACAGCGTTACGGTAGCCTGCGTAACTGGCACCCTTGCTTCGTTCATCAAGTTGTTCCACGCTCGTGACATGGCGAAAGACATCCTCTTGATCTCATTACCGAGGCCCAAATTTTCTGTCTCATAAAATATTTTAAAACATGACGAAAAGTCCCATTCAATAGAGCATTCAGTCGATTTTAATGCGAGTTTTCACTATAGGGTTGAAAAACTATAGAAAAATCGATTTGGTTGCTTTCCAAGAGTCAGTCATCAAGTTTTCTTGGTGTTTTTTCTTACTTATAGAAAATGCTTCAACAGCAGATTGTTAAAATAAATATGACAGTAACGTAGTTCAAAGTAACAAAGAAGTATTCCGTGATACCGTGATTTTATTTTGCCAAATGAGCCTTGAAGAGATAATTGTTGTTTTATATTACGTACTGACTATGTAATGTTTGCTCCAGGTCTTCATTGTTGTATCAGTCCTCGATTGCTGATCAGGATGTTTATAACAAAGCACAACCTATGCATAATTGACTGTACACAATGTGATTGGGTCACAGACGACAGTATTCAAACCATTGCAGAGAACTCTTTCTTTTTGGAGGCAATGTGTGTCGCAAAGTGCCGCAATTTACAAGGAAGAACGCTTAACATATTATTGGAAAAATGTCCGCGTTTAAAAACGCTCATTTTAGAAGGAACACAGATAATAGATGAGTATATCAGACTGGTGGACTGGAGTCAAACAAACATAACCGAGTTGAATGTACTTCGTTGTTACCGCTTGTCATTTTCAGGGCTGTCAGAAATTCTCCCCAATCTAAAGCGCTTGCGCTACCTTAAGTGCGCGCTGACCGACGAAGTCCTAAAGCTCATAGCGAACGGTTATCCTTTATTGGAAGTTCTATTCCTTCATCGGCGCTACCCAGTGACAGTACAGTGCGTCAGCGATTTACTGTTTCATTGTCCAACTTTGACCTGTCTTGATCTCTCATCCATTCCTTTGGCTTTTATATTCTTCGAGAGCTTTCTTCCCAGCATGCCTCGGCTTCGAATGTTGAGTTTTGCTGGCAACGAGCTTCTGGGTACTGAAAAAATTATTCGTTCGCTGGCTAGAAACTGCCCAGATTTGGAAGTTACATGTGTCAACTATTTCCATTCAACTAACAATTTCGAAATTGAACGTGCCTTTGTGTATTTGTTACAGAGGTGTAGGAAGTTCAAAAAGCTCATTTTAAATGGTCTATTTGTTAACAATTTGATCTTATCCATCAGAAGTTTGGCATATTATGTGTGCAACAGGGAAGATGTATCAATATTAGAAAATAAGCACTTTTTTCTTCCCGGGCCCCGAAATTGCTTAGATAATGTTAAAAATGGCAACCATTGGTACTAATATACCATTTAGAAACAATAGCCATTTGCTGGTGAAGAGTGCGTGGAAACAATCCTTAATTTTATGGATTTTTGTTGTGGCAAAGAATAGGTATTTAAAAAGTGATTTTCGTGAGTTCCATCACTTAGAGGGTCGATTATCGATTCTTGGAGATAACTGATTTGAGTTATTGTGCTGGCGATAATCAGAATGGAATCCTTACTTTGGTATGTATATGTATATTGCCTTTTTTCAGATTGTGTGATTTTCTTTGGGGACCCGGGATGGATGGGCTCAGGGGAGGGGGGTTGGAGATGTAGAGCGTGCAAATGACAAGCTTTCTTCGTCTTACTAACTAATTTTGCAAGATATCTCTCAAGAGACCATTAACTTTACACACATAATTGACAAGGTAAAAGTATAGGACACAAGTAAATAAAAGCAAATCAGTATAATATCTTTGTTTTATCAGGAATCAACAAGCATGTTCCGAATTTTCGGTAAACGTTATATGTGTCAACCCTTTCAGCTAGTTGGACCAAACCAAGTCTGTTGATTCAGTCTTCACCGGTATATCCTGAAAGACGATCTCAGTATGTCAGGCAGTATATTCAACTGAATGTGCCTGCACTAAGAACAACATTATGAAACACTGAGTTCTCCTCATGACAATATAACGCACCTACTTAATTCTAAACAGGCTCTTTTCATAGACGTGCCTTAAAAAAATTATTAATATTTAATACTGAGGTGGGGGGAAAGTAAATATTTCATTTGGAGCTGTACATGTTATTGTTCATCCTACACACTAAAGGTTGGAAAGGTGTTAAGTTTATACAGGTAAGCGTTTAATCCTATCTGGCAATATTTCTTACTTTCGAGCTGACTGTCTGCCTCTACATTAACGCTTGTTGAATATTGTCATTCGAACGGAAATTGGAACTCCTGCACCAATTGGCACGCTGCTTTTATTCAAGAAATGAAAATGCTCAGCTTCTTTCTGAAAAATTTGCTGACAAAACCTAAAGATTTCCTGTTTCCTCAGCAAGTCCTTGTTCATCGTTTATATAACAGCATGCCAAATTATTAATCACAGTTAAAATCTCCGTGCCTTTTTGTGAGGGGGTTACCATCTTTTGTTCAAATAAACAATATCCAATGCTGTTTAAACATGCTAGGAGCACGCAAGACTATGAAGTGTTCCTGGTGACTTTCTTACATTGATTTTCGTGTTTTGTGATAAGACCCAACAAAACACTCTTAATGGATGAAGCTAAGGAAAGCATAGATTTCAACAAAACTATAGATACAGTTATGCACTTCACATAAGAATATGCCATCCGGCTATCTTAGAATGAAGAGGTTGGTGTGATTAGGCGATATGAGGCTTTAAACCGATCACGAAAGTGGTAGAAAAGAGTGCCGCCTAACAATAAAATCATCATATTTCATATATCGTGGCTTCAATCGTGTGAACAAGGAAGGCCCTGTGATTGATAAGCTGTTTAAAACTTTTTTTTTTTTAACAGATTTAACATTCCCTCGCGATGCAAAAAGAAATACTTAAGCACACCACTCCTTCGAGTCCGAGAGAAACTCTTGAAAATTAAGCTAAAGAATTCACAGTGATCGTGCTCGAAATGGAAGCTACTTCAAACTACATCACAATTCTGCATAGCAGCCTTTAAAGCATGAAGCATAATATCTCAGCTGCGAAGGCGAGAGCTGGATTTCCACAAAAACAGAGACAATGATAAACCACGAATAATTACATACAGCTTTAGCGCATAGCAACATTTAGCCTTTTTAGATTTGCTTCTGCATCCACACAGCATTAACTTAAAATTTTTCCCAGTGCAGTGACGCGCCATGAAAAGAAGCAGATATACGGGCGTTGTTTGCAAAGTTCAAATGTTTTCAGAAGCCTTCACTATTTCATAACAGGTAGTGATTGCTGGGCATCATGAAAATTTCCAGTCTAAAACCATTACTCATCACCCAGAATGCTCAGAATCCCTTTTAAAGAGCAGGGCCACACGAATAGGGATGAATCGAGAAGAAAAAGTCAAGAGTTCTTGGCTTCTTTGTATTCGAATAAATGATAACACTCAGTTGATTAAAGTAAACATTATGGGTAAGTGTCGCTCTTACTTTCAATACGGAGAAAAATGCTGCTAAAAATAACTGAATATGTTAAATTCACAAGTAGTTTCAGTACTGGTTTTTCACTCCGTGGAAAGGTCAAGTGTTAACATCAGGTGAAGGCGATCAGTTGACGGTCATGCTTTAGTCTTGCTGTTCTGGACACTCAATATAAGATTTTTGTGTTCACAAATGCCGATATCGCTTTCTAGTGTTCAGTCGATACTTCTGTTTGTCCTCATGGGCATGACTTATTTAGACTTGTAAACATCATGTCTGAGGTCCTCAACAAAGAAATTTTAAGTTTTGTCTAGTCGGTCAGTAAACCTCGATTTGATTTGGCACATAATTGAATAAAATTTTGTTGACGTGCAAAATAGCATTTGCGCTCGCATGCTCCAAGATAAAAACTTATTGTTGTACTTTTTTATATTTGTTTATGAGCTTCAACCACGCAAAATTACTGACCGGATGTCAGTTTGTGTACGCTATCTGTCGTATTCAACTACTAATGCATTCTTGATATGATAAAAATACGGTTGATCCCGATGAGAAAACGGTTACCTCTACCATGTTTCACTTTTCTTTCGCCGTCAAATCTTTAAAGAGTCACTATTGAGCTGCTGACGGTAAATCACAGAATAAAAAAAAATGGAGTAGACACAATGTCTTGATCTGTGTTACAAGCAGCCATAAAAAGATTAAGAGTGATGTTGGCATTTCCATTCCTGTGAGTATCGGCGCTACATTTTTAAGTGCGTTTGTTACTAAATATATCAATCGAAAATAAAACAAGATTGGAGCAGCAAACGCAAACGAAACATTGAGACATCCTGTTACCTAAATAAAAACGTTGGGAGGGTTGAATAACTACATCTAGAATAGAGCTGGGTACACTATTGTCCCCAAAGATGATTTCAAGTCACTACTGGTAGCAGACATATGCAAGTAATGCTTAAGTAAGATGTTTGTATGGGTTCAAGGTGAGTATCGACTATCGACTATGGAATACTCTTTTTTTATTTAGAGAAGGTTTTCTTGACTCGATATTGATTATCTTAAACTTTCAAGATTACTAAGATTGTCACTTCTCCTTCCATCGTCAAATTACTAGTCCTAGTTTGTACGATGGTCCCTGACAATTTATTTCTGATTTATATATTGACTAAATGAATATATCAAATACTTTCGCTCGTCAACTAAGTAGAACAGGCAACACTGACATGTTATGCTGGTAGCCTGTATCTCAAGCCTATCTTCAGAAAATTTTGATTACGCGTAGGAACAAAATTTTCCCAATTTAGAAAATCCTCACAATGTGCATCAAAATAAGGGGATCACAAGTAAAAGAGAAAATCAGCAGCAGCTGTGGAATTTGAGAGGCTTGGATGGCTGAAACACGAGGGAACGATGCCAGACAAGTGTTGAACCAAGGAATTATCCTAGTGTTGAGCTATCTGAAAGAAACACCCGATGTAACTCTCAAAATAATGTTTAGTATTAATTACTGATCCTTCTAATATGAAAGCAAATATGAAAGCTATCTAATATCTAATAAAAAATCTATCTACTCTTGGATATTGTTTCATCACAACATAAATTGGAAGGTTGCGTCGTCACAAAGGCCTACACTTTATGGCTGACTGGAGTTAATCGCGGTCATTTGGTGTTATGTCTGTAACCGCCAACTCTCTACTGCATCAGTAGATTGCTGAAAAACATTGGAAGATGTTTCCGTGAGGGTAAGATATTTAAAGACGAATAGAAGGCGTAAAATCGCTTTCAAACTCTTAAATAACCGGATAAAACGTTTTTCAGGGAAGCACTTTTTTCGGAAATTAAGTGTTGCAGCCGCAGTCGCAGCTTGGTCATATGATCAAAATGTTGAATTGTTATCTTAATAAGCTACGACACAGTAAAACTGAAAATGTTTCAACTCTCTTTGTTCGTTGCAGAACTTGGAAGATTGTGATCAGTGGCATTCGGTTTTGTGACAGCTAAAAAACCCTCTATACGTAAAAAGGCAAATTTTAAACATCGAAAAAAGTGGAAGTAAAAGGGAAATCGAACAGCTGTTACCAGTTTACTCAAGATTCAAAATCTCACCCAGATCGTCTTGGTAATACCCTAAGGAAAGTTATAAATAACGTTATCGTCGGACAGATTTGATCTGGATATAGTGACTCCGCAGTTTTTCAACCGACTGTCTGTGTAGAGTTATTTGAAGACAGAAACAGTTCTGAGAGAAGATGTATCCTCCTCTACCCCTGGCCATTAAATCAGTGCTTATTGTGGAGGCTTCTCTGATCGTCGCATTCAACAGTATAATATGGTTCCTTTTTTTAAAGCGTCGTCATTTGCGAAACAAGTCTAATTTTTTTATTGCTTCATTATCAGCTTCGCACCTTCTCATTGGGCTGTTTGCTGTGCCGTGCTATGTATCATCCAGGAGAAGAACTAGATCTTCATTAACTTTGTGCACAGAAGTTTTCTATTATTTCCTTTGTTCTTCGATTCTAAATTTGTACTTGGTAACTTATGAACGTTATTTATCGATAATGAAACCACTCTTCTACCATCGGCGCATGCGAACTACTTTTGTGGTAGGAGTAATTATTACTGCCTGGATTTTTCCAATTATTCCTATTACAATTGACACATTATTCAGAACAAGAATGAAAATACATCGTTTCTCCGTTGGATACCTTATCTATCACTGGACACAAACACTTTTATTCCTAACCATCTTCATTGTTCTCGCGGCGGTGAATATAGCCATGTTTCGGGTCGCCAAAAGACAACTGCAGGCAATACAGGCTGTGCAGTCCATGAACTCCACAATAGTTCGGCGACCAAGCGTTCAGTCTAGCAGACAGGAGAAAAGAACAACCTTTTTCTTTGTTTACATTGTTACAATATTTCTGTTGTTCTGGCTTCCCAGGATTGGAGGTGAAGTATATGAACTCGTCCATCACAAAGTTTTGGATCATACTAATCCTGACGTTATAACTTTATGTATTGCTCTTCTTACTCCGATATTTGACCCACTCATCTATCTGTTTTTTAAAGCTGACTTTAAGAAGGCCATGCGAAAAATGCTTCGAGGGAGAAATCAGCTTCAAGCTCGTGTTCATCCAAAGAGGAATACGTCAGGAACAAAATGATTTAAGAGTACTGGAGACAAATGCATTGTGGTCAGCTTGGGAACTTGACACTCCTTAAAATTCCAATAACAAAATTATATATTTTTTTTATTGATGTATGAAGGAAAACATTTCTACTACATATCTTTACAATGCAGAGCTCCTTAATTTTTAGCTCCCAAACGGGCAGATCTGGACAGTGAAGAGTTTCGTGACAGGAAATGGACCTTATCAGTGTTGGGCGAAGTAAGCGTTTGGACCCAACTTAGGCCCAAAATGAAATGAACTGAGAATTTATCAGAAGAGCAAGTGTCAAGTGTTCAATCCTTGTGAAGCAAATGAACTGTGTCCTGTAAAGTCCACAAGACTTGAGGCACACTGAATAGAGAGCTATTGGCTTAAATTATTACTGTTTTATCTGAGAATAATTTGGAATTACATGGGTGAAGTTATCAGTAGTTGGATGTATGGCAGCCAAATGTCGTTTAGAAACATTTGACTAGTCAGAGGACTAATTTTATAGTGATGCTATTTCCACAAACCAATATCTGGTTATGCAAATAAATGTCCTGATCAATCTTCGTGTCGGACATCTTTATAAAGCACGAAAGTTCTCAGGATCTGGCTACAACCAATGATGTACTTCTTCAGTTGTGTTGAACGATCTAAAATGCCGACAGGCAAAGAATATTCTTGTTCAATTAATATCTGCTATCAAGAAATGAGATTTGCCTGATTTTAAATGGATCAACCATCATTTTATACCGATTCTCACATATTTTTTTCAGATATACTTGAATTATTTATCCCAACATGTCTTAAGTTGTTCCCAAACACGGGATGGTACAAAACGTGGACCTCCTTTCTGGACCCCCTTCTGGACCCCTTCTGGACCCCCTTTCTGGACCCCCTTCTGGACCCCCTAATTAGATTAAGAAAGGATGAAAACAATAAATACCTGGTGCGACTTAGAGGTCGTCATCAAAGTGGCATTTCATGCTACATACATTTGTCTGGATCTTCAAAAAGTGCTTCTAGAAACGTTAATTCTCCCGTGTGCTATGGTGGGTGCCATTTTGTTTGTAAGTTAGAGTGGGGACCTTGGCATAAGGCTGCAAACCTTCCGGTGCTTTCTCCGATCGGCCGCTCCGATCAGATTTTTCCGCCATTTAATTGCATCATCTCATGTCCTTGGCTACCACTGCTGACCAAAAAAATTGTGGTCAACCATATACGGAGGTAGGTGTGTGATTTTCTCGCATTTTTTATTCGATATTCCTGAAGCCATCGATAAACAATCGTGACATTGTCTTGTCAAGAACATTATAATATAGATTTTTGCAGAAGCTATAATTGTTGCATATTGCGTGCTTAAAACCACGATATTTGCATCACACGGAGTCACTTTGCGATAAGCTTCATATGAAGATGAAGAAATTATAGCCGCTGTTTTTCAACAGTCTTCTACATTAAGCATTCTACCATAGCGTTGATTTGACCATAGAGCTCCGTGTATGGATGACCACAGTTTTTTTGGTCAGCAGTGGTAGCCAAGGACATAAGATGATGCAATCAAAATGGCAGAAAAAATCTGATCGGAGCGGCCGATCGGAGGAAACACCGGAAGTTTTGTAGCCTTGTGCTGAGGTCTCCACTCTAACTTACAAACAAAAGTGGCACCCACGATAGCACACGGGAGAATTAACATTTCTAGTAGCACTTTTTGAAGATTCCGGCAAATGTTTGTAGCATGAAATGCCACTTTGATGACGACCTCCTAAGTCGCACCAGGTATTTATTGTTTTCATCCTTTCTTAATCTAATTAGAGGGTCCAGAAGGGAGTCCAGAAGGGGGTCCAGAAGGGGTTCCAGAAAGGGGGGTCCACGTTTTGTACCGTCCCCCTAAACACTATTAATAAACCAAGTGATAAACCAATTGCAGAGTAATATCTAATCATAACTTTTCAGTTGGGTTTCCTTAGCAGACTTTGTCATGCAGGGTCATATCACAAAACTATACTTTTTCTTTGTACTAAGCAATACTCAACGTATAAGACCAGAGGCGTATCATTTGCGCAACCGTATCTTATTTTTTCATTCTATGTTTATAGGTTATTTCACGATTGGTGAGTGCGTACGATTTTTATTCCCAAGTTGTGTAAAACAAACGAACGAGCGCAGCGAGTGAGTTTGTTTTACACAACGAGTGAATAAAAATCCTACAAACAAACTAACCGTGAAA